CAAGAGGGCAGGCGAGTTGCCTTCTCAGCTGCCTGGATTCCACCATGGCCAATTCTCAGCAGCTGCCGACTCTTTCACTTGTATTTTTAACACATTCATGACGGGGCCATAAGCTGTATATCTTGTTGCTGGGTGGCTGTGATTTGATTCAGTGCAGTTTGTTTGTTCATTTGTTTTGGAACCATGGATTGAACTCATGACCTTGCATTTGCCAAGCAGGCACTTATGCCACTGAACTAAACCTCTGGCCATGGCTCTAATTTGAATTCAATCATTTTTGCCAGTTTGAGTCACCAGTGGTGGCGCATGCACATGGGACAGCTTGTACTACTTCTCAGCAGGTCTTTAGTTACAATAGTGCAAAGAAAAGAATTGATTTAGAAGACCGTATATCATTACTTTACAGTTCCTTAAGGGAAACATTAAAATGGTATAAAAAATTATAATACAGCTAATTTGTGACACAGCAGTTGCGAATGTATAATATATGCCAGCAAGGGTATTTGTAAGATTAAAACTTAGAGAATTATTGATAAACTGTTCATAAATATAAATACTTTTAAATTTAATAAAATAATTTTTTGATTATTATATTTTAAAAATTAGTATGAATAGTGTTACTTGATAATTATATTTGAGAAGTAATTATTCACATTCAAGTAACTAATTGGATTCAATCCATTTAAGACTATATTAGTAAAAAGACCAGGGAAAGTGATTAGATACATTTGTACTATCAGTGTACAAGCAGCCTAATGCAGAAGTCATACATGTATCACCAGTGGTTGGTCATGCGTGTACCATCAAGAGATATGATATGGTATCTTTAAGTGAGTGGTCACTAGAATTATCTCTGTCTTCTAATTCTGACACTTTGCCTTCACTTTGGGCACATCTGTTGCCTATATTTTCAATAGAATTGTTATTTTGTAGATTTTTTTTTCATGGATTCTTATTTGCTAACCTCATTTGTGTTTTGTATCATTTTGTTTAGTGTCACTGGCCTCTGTCAGTATCTTCTCTAAAATAATAACTGTTTTATTAAGTCTGTTATATGTTTAGTGACATCATCTGTGAGTTCTTTGAACCAGAAACTAGTTACCGAAAGAAGGATAGAGAGTAAGATAAAACAGGGAATGATACTTCTTAGCATATACCTTGTATGGTTTAAGTTTTCAAAGTATGTTAATGTTCTGTGTACAAAAAAAAAATAAAATTTAGGTGGAGAGGTTAAAGTTTGCTCTTCTACATTATTTCAGGTACATGCATGCATTACTTCCTCTGCCCTCTAACACAAAAGGTTGTACTTTGTCTTTTCATTTAATATATCCTTTAAATTACCATTATAAAAATGTACCCTTTTATTTTTACAGCTGTATAGTATTCAGTTGTAAGTATATGCTGTAGTCTATTCAGCCAGGCTCCCATTGGCCTTTAGTTTGCTATATTTTGCAATTGCAAACCATACTGCAATAAAAACATTGTAATACATACTTTCCTTTGTGGGTGTGAATCCTCAAGGGAGATTTCTAGCTCTTACATCTTTATACCAGATTATGTCTTTTAGTATTAAAAGTATTCTTGTTTATCTCATGCAGTGGCTTTTGATGTGAAGTCTGTGCTAACATCAGCCTCTGCTTTTTTTTTTTTTTTTGGTACTGGAGTTGAACTCACAACCTTATACATGACCTTATACTTACCAAGCAAGCGCTTAAGACACTTAAGCTAAATCCCCAGCCTGCTTCTGCTTTCTTAATGTTTTCTTTGCATCCAAAACATCTTTACATATTCACTACTTTAGGTGACTAAATGTTACAATTTTCTAGGACTATTTTGATTGTGGCACTGAAAATTCAGATTCCTAGGATATCTCTCATTCTGGTATACTGAAATGGTTGGTCACCCAAGGTATTAAGCATAGGTATAGGTTTGGCTGTAGAGGGAAAAGATCAGAATTTTTTTTTCATAGGAAGTGTCCTTTGTGAATATAACAATGCCTTATTAGATCTATTTCAACATTCTTTTAATTTAGTGTATATTTTAAGCCTATACTGCTACTAATACTACCACTACTTTTTTTTAAGATAGGGTGTCCCTATTTCTCAGACTGACTTCAAAGTATGATCCTCCTGCTTCCTGTAGCTGATTTTACAGCTCTCTGTAATATCTGGTTCCCCATACATATTTATTGGTATTACTGATACATGTTATCTCAGTGTGTCATGCTTCTCTGTGTTGTTAAAGTATGTTATATTTATTTTTCTGCTATTTAAAAATTATTTGGTATTTAGCAAAGTTTACATTTTTGTTCCAATGTTTACCTTTGTATTTATACTTTGCAACTCTCAGTTTTCTTAGTCTTGTACTAATCTCATTGAGTTTATTAGTTTTAGCTGGAATTCTTTATCTTCCACTTGTTTACACATTGATCTATGATTCATTCTAACTTTCCATTTCTCTCATTTTTTGAGGATTACATTTTTCTTCATCACAATTTTAGCATTTATATTTTTCTTCCACTCATATTTACTCTCTGGTCTCATCTCTATAATTAGATATATTAGCTGCTTCCCATAAATATTATGTTCAAGGTTTCTTCCACTATCTTTTGATATGGGTGAAGCTCATCCTTTAGTAGATTGCTCAGGAAGAGCTCAAGAATAAAATATTCCCTGAGATGTTTCCTGTTTCATACATTCTTTTATAGCGTTGGTATTTGAAGACTGCTTGGTTGGATAAAGTTCCTTAACTTGACCTTTCTTGCTTTGAATTTCATGAAAATGCTGCTCTATGGTTGCGTTATGGAACTCTCAAAAGAATCTGAAACTAGTCTTAGTGCTTACCTTTTGCTATACCTAATTTTGCTATTTTACTTGTTTGAAAAATGTTCTAAAGTCTAGTAATTTTGCTAGGATGTATCTTGGAATTGATCATTATGTGTCAATTTTCACGATATGCAGTGCACCCTATAGATGTGTAGATTATTTTCATTGCCTAACAGTTTCTTGAATTGTAACTTTAAATGTTAGTGCTTTTGTATTTTTCTTTTTCAAGGATTTCTTGTTTATCTATTGTCTTGGTTACTTTTCTCTCATTGCTGAGACAAAATAACTGACACCTAAAATTAGGGAGGGAAAGGTTTATTTAGCTTACAGTTTTTGGAGGCTTAAGTCCATACTCAGCTGGCTCCAAAGTAGGCTGGTGTGGCTAAGAGGCAACTGTGCATGGTTGTCACAATACACAAAGGGCAAAGCATGCCTCCTTTCCTCTCTTAATAGTATGCTGGCTCCCGTGTGGGTGCAGTACTTACAAACGCCAATCCCAGAGCTAGACAACAAACCAATCACAAACACTAGATGCAGCTGCCTCCATGACTGCATGAGGCTTGGGGGGGGCATCCAAACATAAACCATAACACCTTTTTTCCTGTTGAATCTATTTTTCTTTGGCCCTTTATAATTCTTTATCTCATTTTCATTTTCATTCTCTTAGTTGGTTTCATATAATTTTAAATGGCCATTATTAATTTTCATTTGAATTCATGCTACTTTGAGTGCATTACAATTTAGTCTTTATTTCTGAGATGTTTTTGTCTTTCTTGAGTTGGTCAAAACTTGTTTCTTTTTCTTTCTAGTTTATCATTGAATTTGTGGTTACAGGTTTTTAAAAATTTCATTTTAAAGGGACTAAAACAACAGTAAAATGAAACAGTAATAAGATACTAGGAAATGTACAGTAGTTACTGTATTACATGTTGTTGTCTTCTAAATTGTTCAGACTACTGGCTTTAGGTTTGCAGAGCCAATCAAACAATACAGTTCCTTGGAATCAGCAGGTTACTCACAGGGCGGTTGGGGGATGGTGGGGAGGGGGAAGAGGACTGTTTGCTCTTCCCAGCCTGTGTGCCCGGCTTAGCTTCCTTCCTGGCTCTCCCCAGTTCATGCTGTGTGGTTGCAGGTTTTTAAAAAAATCTTCAAATGCTTGTTTGAAGATGTTTAATTCAGTTTAAAACTTTGTGTCACAGTTTACTTTTAATTTGTTAGTATTTTTAGGTGCAGTATCTTTAAATGGATGAACTTGATGAAAAGTGAAGAAATAAGATGAGCATAACCTGTAGATCTCTCTCTCTCTCTCTCTCTCTCTCTCTCTCTCCCTCCCTCCCCTCTTTCTTCCTTAAGTTTCCTTTCTCTTATTTTTCTCACACTTCTGAGGAAGCAACTTCTAGTCCTTTTCCTCTATAGCCATTGCTGTATCACCAAGTTCCACACCTCTGCCCAGAATTTTTGTACTTTTGTTGACCTTTCTTGCTCAGAATGATTTTGTTTTTTGAGAAATGGTCTCACTATACAGTCCAGGCTAGTCTCGCCCCAATACATAGCCCAGGCTGACCTCAAACTCATGGCAGTCCTCTTCCTTAGCCTACCAAATGCCAGGATTACAGATGTACACCATGATACCCTAAGTTGGGATAATTTTTGTCTATGCTTTGTTTATGCCCTACTTTTTTCTCTCTTCCATAAAGTTTCTTAAGGTTTCTGTTCCTTGCTCTCTGTATATATTTTAATGCATCTTGCGGTATGTTGAATTTATTAACAAACTGAATGGCTTCTCATACTGATGTGCACTTTTCTTGTCTTTCATGATTCCCTGTTTTTTATTTTTAACTGTATTATTGTTCCTCTACTTGATTATTGATAAATTTATTGGAAATAAATTTATTGGAGGGTTGAGTTCCTTCTTAATATTTAAATCTAACTGCCTATAGTCCTGACACTTGTTAGGTAGTCACAAAATGATTTTTGATTGGATTAATCTCTTATCTAGTTGTGTTCTCTCTTGCTCTCGCTCTCACTCTGTGTATGTGCCTGGTCTTGCAAGTCACTTAAGTTGCCCAGTCTGGGCTCAAACTTTTAATCCTCCTGCCTCAGTCTGCCAGACTGTTGGGATTATAGGTGTGTGCTATCATTGTTAAGTCTTAAATTTATTTATTTACATTATAGATGATGAGAAAAACTCTCATAGAGACTGAGAATAAAGAGCTGACTGCAACACCTGAGAAATCAACTTTGGTTCCATTTGGGGATGTGGTATGTAAGACTAGCCCTCAAACTTGTAAAATTGTTTAGAATTTGTTATGAAGCATAGTTGATGTTTATTATTTGCCAATCAAAAGGTACTATAGAAAATGACTTTTCTAGTAACATTCATGAATTTTTCCATTTGTGTGTGTCACATAAACATTGTATTAATACCAAATTTGTGGAAAACATCTTTCTTCAGTTTTAAAATTAGAGATTCCCTAGCTGTACAACTAGGAATTACTAAAGGAAGTTATATCAGAATCATGTGAAATACTTTTTTAAAGTGTTTATTTTGAGGCACTAACTTTGTCCAAAAGAGGGGCCTGGGAATCAGTATTTTATGGAACTCTTCAGGTGTCATTTATTGACAGATTGATTTACAGTTTGAAAATTGACTCCACTCTCCACCCCATGCAAAGAACTCTCCCATAGAAACAAAAGCAAACATACACATCATATCATTTATATACGTTTGTGCTCACATACAAGCACAGGTACATACATCACACTTAGGACCAGATATCTAGCCTGAGAGGCAGAAAAATCTGTTACTCTATTTTGGATGCTTTAATAGGGCATGAGGATCTAAACACATTTGCAATTGTCAAATATTATAGTGTGTTAACTTTCTGTTACTCTGACAAAATACTTGAGAATAATAGCATATTGGAGGAAAGGTTTACTTTGGCTCAGTTTCAGAGGTTTTACTCCTAGTCTGCTGGCTCTATTACAGTACTTTGGGCCTGGGGAAGGACAGAGCATTATGGCAGAAAGAAGGTATAGTGAAGCAAAGCTACTTACTATGCAGAGGCCAGGAAGTGGACAGAAAGAGCCTGTGCTGGCAGGCTTCCTCTTTCTGCTTTTGTTCCTTCCGGGTACCTAGCCTATTGGCCAGTAGCACCACATTCAGAGCTCCCACTTGGTGTAGTCTCCTGCATGGCAGTCATCTCTGGAAATATCCTCAGACACCCCCGAAAGTGTGCTTAATCATTTCCTAGGCTTTGTCTTAATCCAGTCACATTGAAAATCAAGATTAACCATTTTAATGGCATTCATTTTCAGTTACCTTTAGCATTATTTTTTTATATTAGAGCAGTCCATGAACTCCTACTAAGTGCAACCTTTAGTATTTAATGGATCTGCTAATTTGAGTTGGCTTTTAATATATTTGGCTTTAAACTATATTTGATTAATGTTTCACATTAGAATCTTAAGTGTTTAAAACGGGTATGATGGTGCACACCTCTGGTCTCAGCAGCACTTGGGAAGCTGAGGCAGGCAGACTGCTGTAAAAGTTTGAGGCCATGCTAGGGTATGTAGTGAGTTCAAGGCCAGCCTGAAATAGATAGTGAGACCCTGTCTTAAACAAAATAAGACAAAAAATAAAAGTTTTTATACTCATTTTTGTGTTTGATTTTATGGTTAAGCACAGTTACAGTTTTGTTTAATGCTTAAAAAAAAAAACCCCTAAGAATGATAATGTCCCAGCCCCTGGCATATTGTAATCAATGCCAGTGATTGATTGATTATTGAATGAAAGAAGTGGTTTTAGGATAAGGGATATGAGCTTAACTGAAACCAAACGTACTTATTTTCTTGTCCATAATGTTACATTTCATTAGTTTTCGTTCAATATAAAATAAAAGTGATTCAAACGGTGATGTTCAGAGTTAAGTGAATAATGAACCTATTTCTTTGCTTGTGTTATTATTCATTTTAGGTTTACTTTAAACTCACTCTGCCTTTTTTCTTTCATGTTTTTACTTTTTGATGCTTCCCATTAACTAGATTATTTTAAATAAGAAGCTATTTCTAATGAGAAAAAAAGTGACAAAATGGAGAGTTTTTACAAAATTAAGTATATTTCAGTGTTAAGTAGAAGAAAAGTGTTAACTTCTCAGTGTTTCAGTGTTAACTTAAAGAAAATGCATTTACCATCTGTGTTTCTGTTTTGATCATTGTAGGTTGGCTGCCTGGCTGTTCATATAAAGAATTGCAGACATTTTTTGCCTTTGAGTATCCTTTCTTTGTGTTGATAAATCATAGTATGATCATACCTTCCTGTGTCAGTTGTCCATTGCTAGCTACCTTACAGACCTCTCTACAATTTAGTGACCTCAAAGATTAACCATTTTATTATATATGCACCTGCTGGGTGGTTGTTAGGTTCACAGTATCACAGCTTGGGGTGCAGTTGTCTGGCAGTTTCAGTATATAGTCTGACACTTCAGAGCTTAAAAGACTGGACTTAGCTGATGATGCTGAAGTGGTTGAAACATTCGTTATTTCCATGTAATTTCATCATGGTTTTTTTCTTTTTGATGCACAGGTCCTAATTTTGAAAGTATATCATGTTAATACTATATATAATACATTTATACATACATATAATGTATATATTTATCACAATTATTGATCTTTTAATGTTCCCTTCGATTTTGCACCCCAGGTGAGCCCCTCTCACCCATCCTAGTCCTGGCTTTAGTCATGTGCATTGCATTTTATGGGTTAAGCACAAGGCCAGCTCAGATTCCAGAAGCGGGAAAATAAATACCACTTTTTGATGTGGAATTGACAAAAGGTGTTTGGCCATTGTAAATTTATCCCATCATGTAAGTTAAAGAAGCAAATATATATCTTTTTGGATATAACAGCTATTTATTTGTAAGTAATACTTTAAACATTTGAATATTTTAAAAGGTTTTGTTTTATATTGGCATCTTAAATAAGTGGAAGGCCATGTTAAGACTTAGTAGAAAACCAGTCTTATTATGGAGACTTGGTGTTTCCTTCCAAAAAAGTTTATATAGAAATTTTTGAAGATAATTAAATCATGAAAAAAATTGTCTTAATACTATGAAAGATAATAGTATAGGTTAATATAGTATATATAAAATATATAGTGAAGTAAACTAGAGAGTAGAACACTTTGCTCTAAATTCTATTGTCTTAAAATTTTCTCAGGTGACATATTTTTTAAGTTTCTATATAATTGCTTAGAATCTTAAAATTGTATATTATATAGTCATCTTAAAATTAATGTATAGAAAATTTGCAAAATGGTTATGGTTGAGGTGTGATGATAAAAATACAGTAAGTGATCCAAATAATAAACTACTTGCTATTATATGTGGCTAGGGATAAAAATATTTTTAAAACTTTTTTGTGTGGTTTAATAAACTATAATTATCTTCTATATCTACTTGATTGATTTTAGGTTTTGACCTGAATTATTTAATGGATTAATTTTATAATGTGTTACTTATTCATTTACAATGAGACTTGTTTCCTAAATACTCTGTTTTCAGTCTGTTTAAAGTATCACTCAAATTTATACATTCGCATTTCTGTAAATAACCTTGTAAAATATACAAAAAGTTTCAGCTTGCTCTTTGGAAACACTGAAAAGAACATTGTAATTAAATTTGATGAAATGAAGTTCTTTTCCATACAGGTAATGCTAGAATTCTATTCTAGATAGAATAAGCTTTAAGTTTGAAATATTACACCCTAATTATAATTTTTTAAAAGTAGGAAAAAAACAGTGTGTTTTCATTTGCTATTGTATGTTATTTCTATTCTATGGGCTGTAGCATTTTAATTATTTTTAATAGACTGCTTATTAGAAAATGTAAGCCTGGGATATAGCTCAGCAGTATAGCACCTGCCTGGCAAGCATGAGGGTCCTGAGTTTGATTTCTGATACCAAACCCCCCTCCCCCAAAACCCAAAAGTATAATCTTAGTGAACTTTTTTCTTGAGATGTTCTTGTCTGTGGTTTTGAGTATTTATCATGCATATATTGTTCTCTATCTCGTTTTTTAAAATCTATGTCTTCCATTTTTTTGGCCTCAATCCCTTTTTTCTTTCTCTGTATTATGTAAACTCCTTCTTATATAAACTGAACTTATTTCTACACAGATTAATATCCCCAAAGACATATATCTAGCGGGTGTATGGCATACGTTCTCTTATTATTATCATCCTTGTTTTACAGGTGAGGAAACTGAGGTCTTGTGTATTAAAGAGCTTCACTTCATAGCGTTAGTCTGCAGTGGAAGTGGGAATGTATGCGGTTTGCTTCAGGCCACTCTTCATCCAGCTGCCTTTCATGTCAGAGCTTCCTGTGTTTCTGTTTACAGCTGAACTTACTAGAATCTTATCTCAAAGCTTTCTTTAAATTCCTTAGAGTTGCAGGACTCACTGATGAGTCCAATTATTTTGTAATAGTTTTTACTGTATTTGAATTTTGGTTAAATTTTAGGTCATTTCCTCTATGCTCCAGATGTTTTTACAACTTTATTTAAATGTTGAATATGAAAGATAAGTCTTTAAGCATGGGTTAAATAAGCAAAAATAAAAACAAGGCATGGTTATGGTAGAGGTATTTTATACTGTTTTGCTTTTTGTTGTATTTGGCAGATAGTTTGGCTAGCTTTATGGTACGCTCTCAAAAGTTTGGGAGATACATGTCCATTCAAGTGGAACATTAAAACTTGAAAGTGTAGTAAATTAATAAGTACGTATCTTTTTTTTCTGTACTGGGAATTGAACTCAGGATTTCACGTTTTCCAGGCAGATGCTGTAAATTTTCTGTTCTAGTCCTTTGGTGAGTCTTGTTTTTATTCCAGAATCATTCTGTTTTTATTACAGGGGCTTTGTAGTATATTTTGAAATCAGGAATTGTGATGACTCAGCACTGTTCTGTTTCCTTAAGAGTGTTTTGTCTTTCCAGATCTTTTGTGCTTCCATACCGATTTTTGAATTATTTCTTCTAGTTCTGTGAAGAATGGCATTGGTGTTTTAGCAGGAATTGCATTTGAATCTGTAGAACTCTTTTGGTAGTATGAACATTTTAACAATATGAATCATTCCAAGCCATGAATATGTCAGTTCTTTCCATCCTCCATTGTCTTCAGTGCTTTTTCAGTGGTTTTATAACTTAGGGAAATCTTGGGAATGGGAGGAATGAAATTTGTTTCTAAATAGCAAAAGTGTGCATAAATTTTGGAAGTTATAATGACATTGTTCTACATTGCACAAGGTTGAAAGAAAGTTTCAAGTTTAGGTAATGAAATTCATTTTATCAAAAAATTAGAGACTAAAAAAGTTATTGGGTACTCTTTAATAATAGATACTATATTTCAATAATCTGTATTTGTATTACCTGGATTATTTGTTTTTTTGTGTTAGATACTAAATTATTTCTTTTTTTTTTTTTTTGTCTTTTTCCTTTTTATCAGTACCAGGGATCGAACTCACCACTGCCTGCTTGCAAGGCAGGTGCTTATGCCGCTGAGCTAAATCCCCAGCCCCTTTAAATTATTTTTTTTGCTAGTATAGTTTCAGTAGATTCTCAAGGTGAATTTTTGTAGACTTGAAAAGAGAATATATCCTAGTACGTGTAAGACCCTGTGTTTGTTCCCAGTGCTGAAGAGAAAGAAGAGAGATGCAATAGATGATTTTAAAAAGTCCTAATTAACAGTGGACAAACAAGATCTTGATTTTCATTAATATTAAGGTAGATGGAACTGTGAGACTAAAAAGTTATGAAGTCAAAACACATAATGTAGCTTGTAGATGCATTTGGAAGTTGTATCTGAAATTCAGACCACAAAATATAATGCTTCTTTTTATGTATATTTTCATATTGAGGTTCCCAGACATCAAGATGACAAGTGGAATAATATTTCCTTGGAACTAGTACAATATAACGAGACAGAAAATTATCTGCTTCTCTTAGGAAGTGCTACAGTACACCTTTATGAAGTAATTCAGGTATGTATAGAAACAGCGTTTTTCACCTTGGTGCCACGTTGTCCAGTTGATGTTTGTTGTGATTCTTTATACCCGATGGGCTCCTGTTGTTTATTTTCTGCCTTCAAATCCATGTGCTTAGGATTCAGAGTTCTTACTAAATAAGGATTAGTGACTCACGTGTCTGAAAAAATAATAGAATTATCAGCCAGCAGGAGGCTTAAAAGAGGAACTCTTTCTTAAATGCACATGAAATAATATGATTTGGAACTAACTAAGCATTGCTACGCAAGTCAGGTCTCAGGTAAAGCAGAAAGGTGGGAAGAAGGTTTAGTGAGGCGTGAGTAGGGGAAAATGCTAGGAAGAAAGGGGTTCCTGGGGTACTAGATTGGGTAGAAAAACTCACAGGACAGCAGAAATGACCAGAGATGGTCACCAGGTTCCAGAGTTTTACTGTTTTAATAGATGTCAGAAGTCCCCGGAAAATGAAGATGGTACTCTGTGCTGCCGGGGGTCGCCTACCCTGTAATTCTGTGTTTGTGTGACCCCTCAGGAGGAGCAGCAGCAAGGCTGTTGCTCTGAGAATTCTGACAGAGGGGAAGGAATTCTTAACTAGTGGAAACTTTTTTAGTCTAAAACAGGAATGCAAATGTTAACGTTCATTTCTGTTATTTTATATTTGGAGTGCTTTTCATCTTCTGAATATTCATTGTTTGTATTTTAGCTGTTTGATCTATATATGGATTTGAAAAATCAATATTTGATTTTTTTTACTGTTACATGGTTTAAATAATATGAAGGTAAATATGTGAGTAATTTTGTATTTAAATATTTTATTTATTGCTTTATTTCTAGAAAATGTGTTTTACTGAAGAATTACAAATGTTGAATGAAAACACAGTAAGAACTTTACTGAAATTTCCTAACTTTTGTACACATGTAATAATTTCTTGATATTTCATTGAACTTTACTCTGCTACTCTTTGTGTCTACATATCCTTTGTCATTTAACAGTTACTGTTTGAATTAATAAAAATGTACTAACTAGAAAGTAGTTTGCTCACAAAATCTTCATCCACTCAACCTTTTAAAAAAATCTGCTATATGGCCGGGGTTAGTGGCACATACCTGTAATCCCAGCACTCAGGATGCTGAGGCAGGAGGATTGGTGTAAATTCAAGGCCAACCTGGGCTACCTCGCTGAATTTAAGGCCAGCCTAAAGAACTCAGTGAGACCCTATTTCAAAAAACCAAAACCAGACAAATAAACATTGCTATCTTACTGCTGAATTGTGAAAGAGAACATTGGAAATCCTTGGGGAGGGAGTCCATTGCCTCCTGCCACTGTTTTGCCATGGAAGCTGTGTGGTGTCCCATCGGGCACCTCAGCACTGAATTCAGGGAGCAGTGCTTTCCTCACTGGGGAGTTTCATGAAGGGCTGTTTACAGTTCTTTTTTTTAAGTAGTTACAAATTAACTTGACTTGTTGATTTTTCTGTTTGGAGAGACTTGTGCTGTCTCATGGCTAAAACTGGGGCAAGAAGCATGAGGTCTTTATCTCCCAGCCTTGCCCTCACCTCACACACAAGCAGCCGGGTACAGAGAGGTGAGAGCATGTCAGATCAAAGCCTTACCTGAGAACAAGAGTGAGAAGATGTGAGTAAATAATGTAACAGTATACACATGCGTATGTGTATGTGTGTATATACGTGTCACTGTCCCAGTGTGACCATACTAACAGTTGTTTTGACAATTTTTACATTTTGACAATATAATAATACTTAATTTTAACATGAAACTTCTAATATTTCAGAAACTGACTGAATAGATTCTCCTATAATAGGAGCTCTGTGTGTAAATGTGTCTCTCTCGTTTTTTTTTTTTTTTTTTTTTTTTAACAATGAGGAGATTCAGATTCCTATTTTGGTATTCTAATATAGAGATTTGGGAAGTAAAAAATATCTCCTGCTATCACTGCTCCAGGAAAATTTCTTTCTGATCAAACAATAAGTAAGTTTACCCTGTGTTTAGTGTGTCTGCAGGTTGGATGTGGAGTTTATGTTTGCATATGGATCCTTTGGCTATGGATTTTCACATCAGGTTAGTTCTCTTTTAAAAAAATTACTCTCTTTTAGCTTTTCAGCCACATCATTCTATTTTGAGCTGTTTTTTACAATTTGGTAAATTCTTCAAAATAACTGTTTTTAAAAGAATTCTGATTTACCTTCTCACCTTAAAGCATGTGATGTTTTCTTCAGTCTAGAGTAAGGCTTTTACCATTACTTAATTGTACATTTTTACATGATGACCTTTCATTCAAAATGTTACCTTTGTGTTGTGTCTACATATATTTCTGTAACTAAAATTCTTTTGATCATTTCACTTCTGAAAGAATGACTAACATCAAGAAATCAACATATAACTAATGCTGGAGGGGCAGGGGGGTAAAAGGAATCTTTGTCCACTGTTGGTCAGAGTATAGACTGGTACAACCACTGTGGAAATCAATGTGGAGATTCCTCAAAAAATTAGAATTAGAGGTTCCATTCAATCCAGCTATTCCCCTCCTGGGTATTTTCCCAGAAGAATTGAAAACATCATACCACAGTGATACGTGTGTACCCAAGTTTATGGCAGCACAATTTGTAATAGCCAGATATTGAAAACAACCTAAAAGCCCACTGACTGAGGAATGGATAAAAAAGACGGGTATTTTGATACAGTGGAGTACTACTCACCTATAAAGAAGGATAAAGTAGAGGCTTTTATAGGTAAATGGATACAATCAGAGACCATCCTCATAAGTGAGATAAATCAGCCTCACATATGTAAACACCATATTGTCTCATTGGTGTAAACTTAAAGTAAATAAGATCCAAAATTATAGTAGATATAGTGAAAGGGAAAGAAACTGTTCAAGGGCAACTATATTGTTTGATGAACTTTGCATGCCTGTGTCTGGCAACTTGAGCAACTATTTGGAAGTAAAAAATACCCAATATAACACCCATTGTTAAATTCTTACCTTGTTTTGAAATCCTGCATAACTCTTTTTTTTTATGTTGTTGTTGATGTTGATTGGCTTTTTTTGGTTTTTTTAATTGCTTTTTTCTCTTTTAAAATAAAAAATTATTTTAAGTATTCAAAAAATGGCTTTTTACGTCTAAAAATACTTGTTAGAAGTGTAGTCCTAGATGTTGTTTAGATATTTGTACACTGATCTTTCCCACATGATCATTTTTAAGATGACATTTGAAACCTCTTTGATTTAATCAAGACAGCAAAACACTTGAAGAAAAGTTTTATTCCTGTTGGTTGCCCCTTTATTTTACTGCCAGTATATATTCTTGCTATCCATGAATTTTTTTTGTACTAATCTCTGTTGTTTTCATTGTCTTTAGGCTAGGCTTCTAGGGAAGAATAATGATCCTTTCAAGGATTTGTTTGATGATTGTATCAAAGAATAATGCTCATCAAGTGGTTGATATAATTCTCATAGCCCTGGGTATTATCATTGCTTTGGGACATATAAAAATTTAGTTTCATCAGTGCTGCTACAATATAGGGAAAATAATCTCTACATTTTGTATATAAACTTTCATTTTGAATTTTTGCTATTTTTATTAATAATCCTGGAATGTTTTTAAATGAGTAATCGAAGATGGGAACATTAGTTTTAGTAGATAACTCTACTGTTGTGTTAATTGAGAAATTCCTCTAATTTAAATTGTTCATTGATGCAGTTTAGATACATGTAATGATCACATAGGAAATTTCCACCTGTACATGATATATTTTGATTTGCTTTTTTCTTCATTCCCATCCCCTCATTTCTTTGACTTATCATACAGTAAAACTGGTTTGTGAGTGTAATTCACTCCAGAAATATGCTTGTAATCCCAAGCACTTGTGTATAAAAACAGATTTCCCCATAGGAAATAGTGGAAACTCAGATAAATCATTCCACGACCCAAAAATATTCCTATAAAATGATTACAATACTGTAACATAATATATAAAGAAAACTCAAATATAAAGAAAATTAACCTTCCCTCAGCTTTGAAAGCCTCTGTGGCAGTGTGAGGGAGATGAGAGAGAGAGAAAGGTTATTGTATAGAATCACTGAAGGAATAGCTGCTATCTGTTGACTCAATGGAATCTTTTTTAATGTGACTTTAACAAGGAATTTATTCAATGTCAGTTGTTTTTACCTCCTTTGAGGATTTCACTGAGTACAACATTTCATTCTTATTAAACAGATGAATTGCTTGCACAGCTATAGCCTTGTTCAGATGGTGCTTTTCTATGAAATCTTGCACTGTTTCCCACATTTTACATTCCCTCATCTCCCTAATCTCATTTAGAGGGAGGGTTTCCTATATCTTTTTCTCCTCCTTTGCTGACAAGATCTCCACAACCTCTTGCTGTTGCTTGTGATGCAGATTCATCAGTTTATTGGTGGTCAGCTGCTGGCCATGTTCCTCCAACAGCTCTTGAACATTATTCCTCAGTCACCTCCAGTCCCATGGTCTCACCCAGGACACAGTTTCATTGATGACTTGGTGGCTCCTATTTATGAGCAAGCTCCTCATATCCAAGAATTCAATCAAGCCACAGTTTTCTCCAAACAGAACTGAGGTTCTTTTGGTGAAGATTTATTGATGATCTTGGGGCAATTAACGTTGTGGAAATGACTTTTTCAGAACTCTCAGAAGGTAAGGTTTGATTCTTTTGTCACCTCAAAACATCACTAAAATAGTGCTTTGCTGTAAAGTTTTTCAAAATTCGAAATGGACCTAGTGATCTGAATACTTGAGTGGTGCTGAGAGGAAGGAATTTGACCTTAATGAACTTGCATTGCTTCAGTAAGTTGTCTTCAAAGCTTGGAGGTTGAGCAGGGGCACTATCCCAATCAGCAATGGCAGGTTTTCCTCTGCTGCTTCTTTCTTTCTTTCTTTCTTTTCTTTTTTTTTGATACCAGGTATTGAACTCATGACCTCTTTACCCAGGCAAATGCTTGAACTGCTGAGCTAAATCCCTAGCCAGTATGTTCTCTTCTAAAAGGTATTTCTTCACTGAAGAACTGCAGAACTTATGGATCCACTCAACAAATAAGATATGAATGACTTCCACATAATGTCGGTGGCACTTCTGTACCTTGCTTTCCTTGATGGCTCATGGGTTCTCAGGAGGATAAGTGAGCAGGGGCTTGACTTTGAAATCCCTGCTTGTACTAGCACAAGAGGCTGAGACGATCTTTTAGGGGCTTGTGAGTGAGTGTTGCATTCTCTTCATCTGTAAAGGAAGTCCTCTTTAGCATCTTTTTTCAAAAAAAGCTCCTCATCATGGTTAAAAATTTACTCGAACAGGTAACCCTTGGAAAGCATGAGCTTCTGGAACTCAGTAGTGTGTACGTCAACTTCCATGGTGCCTGAACTCAGCCTCTCACAGCCACGTCATGGACGCCACTTCTTCTCATGAAGCTATCACTGCTTGCCTTGCAGCCTTGTTTTCCATTGACATCCCTGGCAGTTTATTTTTGAAGTCAATGTATGAGACTTTTGCCTTCTTGCTGATAAAAGTTCTCAGGCATAGTATTACATGCTAGTTGCTTCTCATTTATCCGAACCAGAAGCAACTTCTCTAAATCTTCCAGAACTTATGGTGGTGGTTTTGATACTCTTGTGACATCTTTTGCTGTTTCTCGCTCCTTTATTTTTCCTCTCTTCTTTAATACTGTACAAGTGGTAGACTTCTCATAAAATCTTGAAATTTCTGATTGTACTGCTCAGTGATTTCCTTTTTAACTTCCACTGTAGTCATCTCCTTCTTACTGCCTTTCTTTTCAACCTTTTAAAATATGGAGGCCGTTGGATACATGCCTGAATGGATGTTGACTACAGGAAGTCCAGTATTAATAAACTTTTCATTTACTGTATTGGATATAACAGGCAACAAGGCAGCAGAGGAAAGGGTCTGTATCAGTGGGCAACCCGACCTACCGTGAAGCAGAGCCTTCGTAACCTAATTGTATGGAAAAGCAAAGCCCTGTCCGGAGGTGCTTTGAAGTAACAAAAATACATTAGTGCCAGTTGTGGGCTCCTTCCAGTGTTCTAAAAAATCATGATTTCTGCCAAATAACAACCTAAGACTGAGCATTGGAGCATGGGAAACACTTGTGGTCTCACGGTGAAGGGGGAGGGGAGGAAAAGGGGAGGGAAGGGAAGAAAGAGGAATCACTGACCTAGGTTTGATCATGTGACAGTTGGCATCACACACTACTTGTATTGCAAGACATCAGTTAAAGTTTAAATTTCTTAGAAATGTTTGCTCGTCTTGCAGAATACTTGCAGAACAAGTTACTGGCAATCCAAGGTTTTCCTGTAAAATGATTTTAATACATTTTGGATCAGAAATCAGTAATACATAGATGAAAGCATAAGGAACAAGCTTTTTATTTCTTTCACTTTTCTGGCTTGATTTTTTTGCTGTATATTTTTTTTATGATGAATTAGACCTTTTCAGAACCCTTTATTGTTCAGCCTTTTTTGTGGTAGTCATAGCAAATATTTAGTGCCCAATAAATTTAGTTCTCTCTTCATTCCTTTTCTTGTGTGTGTTATTTAAGGGCTAGCCATATCCTGGAGGATAAGTAATACCAGTTTAAATTGTAACCAAAATGTGTTAAAAATATGTTTGTATTTTTCTTTAGTTAAAACCTCTTCAAAGAAATATTGAGCCTACTATGTTTCTGAATGTTGCATCACATTCAAAAACTAAAGATCTCCCAATGTAAGTTTTTTAAGTCTTGTTTATATGGTGAAGTTGTGTGGCATCTAAAAAGTTGACAGAGCGTCTTAGTTACCACAAGTTCTGAGAACATGCCCCGGGTAGGCGAGATGCCAAGGCAAAGAGAGCACTGAATTAATTTGCTTAATAAGATAGAAGAAAGTTGAATTTCTGGGTACAGCCCTGGAGAAACAAGGTGACAAAGTCTGGAGAAGAGAAAAAAAAAAAAGAGGGAGTGCCTCGCTCAGGGCTGAAGGAGGGCTGGGGAAGACGGCTTCAAGAAGGGAGCTGGCCAGTGAGGTACTGCTTCTTTTGGGGAAAGAGATGTGAGGGTCTTTGAAGGTTCATGTCCTTTAGTAGTTATTTCTAAATCAGCATTAAAAAGTTCATGGCAAAGAAAATTATTAGCACATGATACATAATTTAAAATGTATGCTAATCAGTTTTGAAATTCAATTGTAAAAATAGACTAAAGAAAACTGAGCACCCAAGAAAGCAATTTAGTCAGTGGTGTATTGAAAGAACCTGAAATGGGATTCAAAGAAATTAGATAGTCAGGTATGGTGGTGCATACCTATAATCCTAGCATTTGGAAGGCTGAAGCAGGAGGATTGCTATTAGTCCAAGGTTGGGCTGCAAAGTGAATTGAAAGCCAACCTGAACTGCATAGCAAGACCCTGTCTCAAAAAGAACCAAAAAAAAAAAAAAAAAAAAGAAAGAAAAGAAAGAAGCCCCTCAAAACACAAAGAAATTAGGTATAGAATAGAAAACTGTGCCCTAAAGTGCTTATTGAGGAGAGGAGAGAGCCTTCAGACCCAGCAATTGCAGATTTTTAAATCACACAACCCACTTAAATCCCAACTATTGGCCAAATGCAGCGGAGACCAAGCGGCTTTCCACTACAACTCACCCAAAGCCTCAGTGCACACACAAAACAAAACAAAATCCTTAAAGGAAAAGCCACGAAAATGCCTATAAGAACTTCCAACTCCCATGGAGCTGATCCATGTGGCATCAAAGGGGAAAATCTCCAAAAGCCACATATCCTCATTATTTGAAAAAATGTTGGGAGGTAATAAAACAGAGTAACAAAACATTTGGTAAGCCCCCAAGAGATATAAATAAAATGATGTTGGACAAAATAAAATGATTGGAGAATTTAGAGAAGACACTAATAAAGATAGAAGAGCTAAAATAAGCAATGCAAAACATGCATGACCAGCATAGAAAAGAATTAGAGTCCATAAAAGCTTCATACAGATTCACATTAAAATTTCTATCAAAAGTATGGGCAACAGAAGTGACCAATGTGAGGACAGTATCAGAACCAGAAGACAGGGGTATTAGTTAGTTAATAGGAGATAACTGCAAAACAACAATGGAACATGGAAAACAGATTCGACTACTAAACAATTCAAAGAAGACAGATTAAGTGGAATTGGTGAAAATTCAGAAGATAGCACAAACAGCATAGAGAATCTCTGTTGAAAAAATACCAAAAGTACCTAACATACAGAAAAGTGAGGCATATAGAATTCCAAGTAGTGATAGTCATACCACACCATGACACATCATACCATAGCAAAATCTTAAGGAGTCCAGCACAAGGAAAATGTTAAAGGTGGTCATAGACAAGTGATGAGTCACTTATCAAGGCAGACCCATTAGAATTACAGCAAGCTTTTCAGCACAGAGCTCAATAGGCCAGGGTAACTAGAAGTGATTCAAGCCCTAAAGGAAAAATAATCTCCAATATAGGCTGATATATTGTATCAGTCAGTGTTTTAGTAGAGAAACAAGATATATAAATGTATAAGAATGTACAAGTTTGGCTTACAGCCACCACCCACAGAGTCGAATGAGGAAGAGTGCAGAGGGCATCTACACACTGGAGATGAAAAGAGTCTGTCCAAGGTCTGGAGCTCACTGCACTGACCCGTGTGAGTCAGTGTCAGGAGGCCAATGGGCCTGTGATGGAAGGCCTAAGAGTGTACCCTGGAGGCCAGGAGATGATGTCTGAGGTGAAGGCAAAGAAACAAACAGATGCATCCTTCCTCATTTTCCCTTTGTACCTACCATCCAGGTGATGAGCCACTTTAGAGTGGGTCGTCTATACCTTAGACATGTGTGTAATTGCTGAGCCATTTTGGTTAAGCTACTCTAAACTTCTCAAGTTGACACAATCAGCTATCACATATATCCTGCAAAACTATCCTTCAAAATTTTTGGAGAAATAAGATACATTCATGATAAACAGCACCTACAGAAACTCATAATTACAAAATCAGCACTCCAAAAAGTTCTCTAGGACATTCTAGAGAAAGACAAGCTACCAGTGATAAAAGGCCTAGTACAATGAGAACATCAGGGAGGGTAAGCTGTTAGGTAGGAGGAAAATGGAATCAGAAGTAGGAAAATGAGGCAATGACAGATATAAGTCAATACGTAATGGTAATAACTCAAAATGTAAGTGGTCTCAGTTTCCTTATCAAAGGACACAGACTGGAAAATGGATCAAGAAACAAAACCCAATTGATATGCTGTATAAAGGAACACATTAAATAAAAAAGAAACAGACTAAAAATCAAAGGGTAGAAAGAAACATTCTATTATGAAGGAACTTCCAGAAAAAGTAGGTGTAGCTATCCTGTATTTTCATACAAAGTGGACCTTAAGCTAAAAGAGGAAAAGAAGGTCACTACATATTGGTTAAGGCAACAGTCCAACAGGAAAACAAAACAATTGTTAATATATATGCACTAAACAGTGGTGCACTCAACTTTATAAACAAGTACCAGATAAGCATAAACAAAATTATAATGGGGAACCTCAATACTGCACTACCACAAATAGACAGATCAGGTAGACAAAAATCAAATATAAGACTTGAACAAAAACTTCAAACAAATAGAACATATATAGTATATATAATATTATATATATAAATGTAATGTATATATATATATAATTTTACCCAACAATAACAGAATGTATATTCTTTTTTTTTTTTTTTTTTTTTTTTTGGTGCTGGGAATTGAACCCATGACCTTGCGCTTGCCAGGCAGGTAGGTGCTTATGCCACTGATCTAAATCCCCAGCCCCCAGAATGTATATTCTTTTGAGCAGCAGAGAAGACTCTCCCAAAAGACCATATACTATCCAATAAATCATGCTTAAGTAAATGTAAAAGAATTAAAATTATACCATGCATATTATCAGATGATAGTGTAATAAAACTAGAAATCAATGACAAAACACAAATTATGAAAAAACCTAAACAATATATTATTAACCAATGGATTACAGAAGAAATCAAGGAGTAAATAAGAGTTTCTAGAACTAAATGATAATTCCAGAATGACATACTAGCTAGGGATACAGCTCAGCTGGATCACACCTGACTGGTAAGAGCAAGGTCCTAAGTTTGAGTCCCAGTACCCTGCCACCCTAAAAAAGATACCAGAAATTATGGAACATAAGGAAAGCAGTCTTAAGAGGGAAGCTTGGGGCTGGGGATTTAGCTCAGCGGCATAAGTGCCTACCTTGCAAGCAGGCAGTCGTGAGTTCGATCCCTGGTACCGATAAAAATGAAAAAGACAAAAAAAAAACAAAAACAAAAAAAGAAAACATATTTTAAAAAAGAGGGAAGCTTACAGCTTTGAGTGCACATTTCACATAAGCAGAGTGAGCCCAAATAAATAACCTAATAGCACACCTCAAGTCCTAGAAAAACAAGAAAAACCCAAATCCAAAGCTAGTACAAGGAAATAAATTCTAAATCAATGATTTTGGGATTTAGCTCAGCAGCATAAGTGCCTGCCTGGCAAGCATGAGGTCATGAGTTCAATCCCTGGTACCACCAAAAAATAAAATTAAATTTTGTGGCCGGGGATTTAGCTCAGCGGCATAAGTGCCTGCCTTGCAAGCACACAGTTGTGAGTTCGATCCCTGGTACAAAAATAAATAAATCAATGATGTTGAGACCAAGAAAAAAACTACAAAGAATTAATTAATTGAAGAGTTGGTTTTACCATTCCTTATGCAATCTAACCAAAAGGAAGGGAGACAAGATCCAAATCAAGTCCAGTTAGAATTGAAAAAATTTGAATCACAATAGACATTACTGAAATAAAAACTACTTCACAAATCTGTATGCCAGTGTCTAAGAATTCAGAAGAATTGGATAGATTCCTAGAACATATGAACTACCAAAACTGAACCAAGAAAATTTAAAAACCCTGAGTAATCCAATGAAATAGAAGCAGTAATTAAAAACCTACCAATTAATAAAAGCCTAGGTCTTATGGGGTCACAGATGAATCCTGCACTCCTCAAGCTTTTTAATGAAATTGAAAAGAAAGGAGTACTTCATAAGTCATTCCTGGAATCTACTGTTATCCTAATTCCAAAATCATAAAGATCCAAACAAAGAGAACTATAGGCCAATGTCTTTAATGAATATAGATGCAAAAATCCTCAACATGATACTGGCAAGCAGAATACAACAAATCACCAAAGAGATTATACATGATTGCTAAGTAAGCTTCATCCCAAGAATGCAAGGATGGCTCAACATATGCAAATCAATAAATAAATCATGAAAACAGAATTAAGGACAAAAGTCACATGATCAAAAAATCACAGTCATTTCAATAGGTACAGAAAAAGCCTTTTGGATTTTGTCAAATCCATAATAAAACCCTGAGGAAAATAGATAGAGAAGGACCTCATCTCAATCTGATCAGAGCCATTTATGACAAACCCATTGCCAACATCATATTAAATAGAGAAAAACTCGAAGCTTTCCCTTTAAAATCAGGAATAAGTAAAGGCAATCCACTATCACCATTCCTGTTCAATTTAGTATTCAAAACAAGAGTAACCAGTCAAGAAAAAAAATAAAGGAAATAATACAATTTAGGAGTAATAAAATTGTAATCATTTGTAGATAATATGATTCTCTACATAGCAGACCCTCCCAAAAATCCAAGAGAATCTTAGAATTAATTACCAAACTCAGTAACGTAGCAAGATACAAACAACAAAAACACCAGTAGCTTTTCTTTACATTAATAATGAACCCACTGAAAAATAAATAAGAAAAAGTACCATCATAATAATACTAAGAGAAAATACATACTTAGGAAAGAATCTAACTAAGGAACCTAACTAAGCATTGTAAAAAGCTACAGTGCTTTGAAAAAGAAGATTGAAGAGAGTATCAAAAAATGGAAAGGTACCCTTGTTCCTGAATAGGCAGACCAAATACAATGGTATACAGATTTAATGCAATTTCAATTTAAATTCTAATAGCATACTTCACAGAACTGGAGAAGACAATCCTACAAGTCATATGGAACCAGGAGAAATCCAGAGTAGCAAACTCAATCTTGGGTAAAAAGAGCAAAGGGGGAGATATCATTGTGCCAGGCCTGAAGTTATATTACAAAGTTACTATAATAAAAATAGCATGGTACTGTCACAAAAATTGCGGTGAGAGTCAATGGAACAGAGTAGAAGATGCAAACAACCTTAAGTACACTCAACTACCTGATCTTGGCCAAAGGGGCCAAAAAACTGAAGAAAACTTCTTTTTAAAAAACAGCATGGGAAGATTGATATCTATTTTGTAGAAGATTGAATCTAGACCCCTATTTCTCACCGTGTACTAAACTAAAATCAAATTGGATCAAAGATCTAAATGTTAAAACAGAAACATTTAACCTGCTGGAAGACTGCATAAGTAAAGCTCTTGAAGTAATAGGCATGGCAGTTTATAATAGCTAAATCTTGGAAGCAGCCTATATGCCCATCAAAAATGAATAGATGAAGAAAGCGTGGTTTTTACACATACTGGAGTATTAACCTGCCATAAAGAAAGATAAACTAAGTCATTTTTAGGGAAATGGATGTACTTTGAGATCATAGTATTAAATGAAATAAATCAGGCACACAAGCTTATATATAGTTTCTTTCATATGAGTAATCAAAAGTATAAATAACTTAATAAAAAGTAGATGATAGGGTCAGGCATTTACCTCAGTGGCGTAAGCGCCAGCCTGGCAAGTGCGAGGTCATGAGTTTGATCCCCAGCCCCCCCCCCAAAAAAGGTGATAGTAGGCAGGTAGATCTTTCTAAAAGGGAAAAGAGAACATGAGATGGAGGAAGGAGAAGGAAAAGGAGTGAAAATGAACTAAAAAGCATTATGTACTTGTATGTACCAGCTGCACACAAGTAATGTAAACATGTATTGCAAACATACAAAAAAAGAAAGATGAAAATCAAGAGATGGATGGAAGGGGGCAGGAGGAAATGGAATGGGGATTATAAAAAGGAATTAAGATGCGTTATGTGCATGTACAGTTACCCACAAGTAAACAGAATGTACTACAAACATGCACTAATAAAAAAATCAAATGGAAATGTGATTATGTAATTGAGATCAATGTTACTCTGGATGTAAATCTGCCTTCACTATACACAATGCTTCTGGCAAAATTACCTTCTGTGGACTTTAAAAAAGTGCCTTTCCCTCTATTATGGTATTCAGCTGAGCATGATTCTGATCAAGGAACTGACTTCACAAGAAATAAAGTGAGGCAGCCTAACAGTGAACTTAACACTTCCGTGCCACCTAGAAGCCACTGGCTTGTCAGAAGAGTAGAATGGCTTCTTCAGGACTCAGTTTTCAGGCGCGGTTCTGAATCAGAGTTCTCCAAAGGTTGCAGATACCCTGCACCAGTGATCAGTAGGTGGTGCTTTTTTTTCCGTGTTCAGGGTTTAGGGTTCCAAGAATCAAAATTAAAATGGGAGTCATGGTACTCATGACTACCCCTAGAGATTGTATTTTTCTTGTTGCTGTAGTCTTACCCTCTTCTGGCCTAGAGGTCTTAGTTTCTTAAGGAGGAATACTCCTACTAGGACTGGAAATCAGCTTAGATTCCTGATGCCTGTGACTCAACAATCAAGGAAGGCACTTAACTGCACCGGTGGTTGTTTGTTCTTGAAACCAAAGGGAAATCGGACTGCTGCTTCCCAATGGAGATGAAGAAGAACGTGTGTAAGAATACAGGAGACTCCGTAGGGCATCTTCTAATACACGACCGCACATGATGAAGGGTTTAATGGAAAACTGCAGGAGCCCAATTCAGACAGGACTCTTCGTGATCCAGATCCTTAAATTAAGGAATGAAAGTTCTGGTCACCACACCCCAGACAAAGGAATACAGAACAGATGGATAAGGGAGGTATAAACTCATGTGATAACCACAGAAACGAGGGCTGTAATTGTTATATTTCCTTGTTTTCTTATGAATATACTTGTTTATACATACATTTGTAAATATTTTCATTTTCCTCATTCTCTTTCCCTCTTATTATGCAATATCATAGTATTTAAGTTTGGGGACATTAAGGAGAAGCCTAAACATTATTCAGGGAATTTACTCTACCTTGTGGGAAAAGGCTTACTGTGATGTGCCTAGTTGAATGTAGGATAGTTGTATTACACTAGTTAGGACTATGGGCATGTGACTGTCCTAATCTGGAGGTTGGAATGATAAAAGGAAATAAACTTGAGGGCCAGAATGACAAGGGTTGGCCTTGTGATGGGCTATATGCCAACTTGACTCTACTAAGTGCCCAGATAATAGTGAAAAGTCATTCTGAGATCCAGGCATGGTGGAGCACCCCTGGAACTTGCCACTGGCTTTTTGGTCCCTATCACTTGTTGTCCGAGGAACACAAGAGATTTGGTAAAAAGGAAACCAACATTTATTAAATCCAGGTCTGAGGAGATAGAGGAGTCTCATTTGCCTCTAAGCTCCATTCTGGTTCAGGTGTGCAAATGTGTTTGTGTAGTGAGGAAGAGGGGAGAGGGAATACAGTGAGACAGTACACAATGAAATCTCCAGTCTCATCCCCTGGCCATTCTCAGCTTTTTCTTTTTCTGGCTCCTCTCTTTGTATTAAAGACACTGGACCTCTGGGGGCATCATCTTCATGTTCTGCCCATTAACCTAAGGTGTGTGTGTGTGTGTGTGTGTGTGTGTGTGAGAGAGAGAGAGAGAGAGAGAGAGAGAGAGAGAGAGAGAGTTTATGACCTTAGTATGAAGAAGTTTGGGAATGTATCTTGTTTCTAAAAGAAAAAAATTTAACTTCAAAAGATCCATTTTGCCTTCTTAGTTACAGTTCCACCTACTCTGCTAGCTGAGGCAGAAGGATTACAAATTCAAGGACAGTCTGTCAGCTTAGCAAGACCCTGTCTCAAAATAAAAAATAAAAAGGGTTTGTGATATAATTCAGTGGTACATAACTTACCTAGCATGTGAGAAACCCAGGGTTTAATCCTCACTACTTCCACCTCCCAGGAAAGTATCATTCTGAGAGAATTTTTGGATGAGTTTAACATTTAGGTCGATTCTCTCAATGATGCAGATTGCCTTCCCTAGTGTAGGTGGGCCTTTGTCTAATCGGTTGAATATAACAAAAGGACAAACGTTTTCCTAAAGAAGAATTCTTGCTGGCTGACTACTTTTGACCTGAAACATCAGTCTCTCTCTCTCTCTCTCTCTCTCTCTCTCTCTCTCTCTCTCTGTCTGTCTGTCTTTTTCTCAGACATTAGCTTTCCTTGCTCTTGAGCCTGCCTATCTTTGAACTGTGGCTCTGCTATTGGCTGTTCTGGTTCTAAGGCATTTGAATTGGGTTACACCATTGACTGTGCTGAGTCTTTACCTTGCCAGCTCACCCTGTGGATCTTGGGATTTGTTAATCTCCACAATTGCACGAACCAATTCTTTACAATAAATCTATTTCTTTGTATATACATACACCCTACTGGTCCTATCCCTCTGGACTATGACTAATACAATAGAACAGAGGAACAAAAGAACTTGTGAAATATTTAGAACATTTAAATCATATCTCCTCAATTAGGAAGCAACTAATTGGAAATGGAACAGGACTAGAAAAAAAGATTGTTCACATGTATTTGTTACTGCTATTTCCTGAACCAGGAAGCACTGGTGAGAAAACAGAATTAGAGAATGGGACGGTGACAAGTTGCAGTTTAGGCATGTTGAGTTTAAGGTGCTTGCCACTGTGCACAGTACAGGTTAGTGCTCAAGAACATGAGCTTTATCTACAAATGTTAGTTCTGCCACTTCTCAGCCATAAATTCTTGGGCGGGGGCTGTTGAATCCCTTCAATTCTTTCTTTCTTATTTGTGAAGTAAGAGTTAATAATTCTCATCTCATAGATGACTGTGAAAATGAAATGAAATAACATACATAACCATGTGAACACAGTACCTGGCACACAATGTATATCGTAGAATTAATACATTTTAAAAGGCAGAGGCACCTGGAAGACAGACATTGGCTATGAAGGTTGTGAGAGGTCTGGGTTCAAATACTTTTTCACTGTTGCTTGTTTGTTTGTTTTGTGTTTTGAGTCAGGATCTTATTCTGTAATTCAGGCTGGCCTTCAGCTCATAATGTAGCCTAAGCTGGTCTCAAACATGCTGTGATCCTCCTGCCTCAGTCTCCTGAGTACTGGGATTACAAGTGTGATCCGCCATGTCCAGCTTTTTATTCTCCTTTCTGCAGGTCCTCTCCTTTTCCCTCCCTGCTGCCCATGATCTTTGTAGAAAGAGTAACCAAGAAAGAACTCTCAGGATTTCTTACTCTAAAATCTTCTTTCTCAGTTCTGGCCTCTGTGATCTAAGGTGGATAGGTGAGCTAAAAGTATAAAGAGGATTTGAAAGTGATGATTACCACAGATTTTAGAAGACTACTTTTGCATAATAATAGCAATATTTATTATGATTTTTCAGAGATGTTATTGCACCACAGCCTGTTAGTGTTGGGAATTCATCTCTTGGACAACACTCCAGCCAGCCACCTCAGATGCAATTTGTAAAACCCAGGGAAAGGTAAGCAGCACAAAAGCTTTCATTTATTTATGTTCTTTGTATCACAGGTTAATTTCTGTTTTGGGTCATGGGCTTGCTTTTGGTCCAGCTCACTTCATTGTGGTGGTATTTCAAGGATTCATAAATTATTTCATACCAAATTGAGGTGTTTTGTCAGAAAAGATTAGTAGTATGGCAAGAAAATAGGTAAAATCCCATTTATAAAGGAAAAGGCATACTTGCTCCCATCACTGCAATGTATCTTATTGTCTCTTATGCTTTTTTAATGTATTTTGCCTCCTCTTTCGTATTTTCTGTGCCTCTGTCTAGAGATCTTATATCCCACTTCATTTGTTCTTGTTTCTAATCTGTTAAACAACTTAAAGCCTTGCTTTCCATTCTCTCATGGAATTTCCATTTATTTGTATAGTTTTTTTATTTCTCTGCCTAAAATACCCAGCATTATTCTCCAATTTCTTGAACATATTAAACATATTGACCATTGTGGCAGCTCAGTCTGCCAAACAAGTTAAATAAAATACCATAGACTAAATTATGTAAATTTATAAATTTATTTCTCATAGCTCTGGAAGCTACATTCAAACTCAGGATGCTGATGCTGACTGATTTAGTTCTTTCTCAGGGCCATTTTCCTGATCTGCAAATGGTGAACTTGCTGTATTTTCACAGGATGGAGAGAGAGCGAGTGAGAGAGAGAGACAGAGAGACAGAGACAGACAGAGACAGAGAGAAGGGATTATTCTCTTGTGTTTCTATATAAGCATTCATTCTGTTAATTAAGGGTCTACTTTCATGACTCAATTACCATCCAAAAGTCCTACCTACAAATATCATTAATAGGAGATTAGGGTTTTAACATGTGAACTTTTTGGGATACAAACGTTCCATTCATAGAAATCATTGCTATTTTATTTTTTTAAAATTTTATTTAAAGAGAATAACGCAAAACAGAAAAAAGTGTAGAAGTAATACAGAATTTCAAAAAAATAAACAGTAAGAAATCACTAGTTGATAGATTACATATTGTCATCTTAGAAATAGTTGTTCAAGATACAAAATTGAAGCATACAAAATGGACATTCAAACAGTGAGACTGTAAACAGTTCTGTTCAACGATCCAACAAAAACTCAGTAATATAGTTATATGTAACATACATGCAGTTATATCCTTTAGAGCGCTTTCTTCTCTCTTTTTTACAATAACAATTACACATTTTGGGTTTTATTACTCCTACAGTTCTTATTACTTTTTTTGAAGAGAATAAAACCAAATGTGACAAAACAAAATAGAGTCGTTAAAACAAGAGAACGGACATAGTACATGAGGTTAAAACAAAATGCGAGGTGATCAACGATGGCTACCATAAAGCCTCTTGCTATCTTCAAAAGAATTGCCCATAACATCAGGTATAGTAAAATTGAACAAAACAGTACAGAACAAAACCAATAAAAATGAAACACTGGAGACATTACAGGACTTCAAAAATATATATATATATATTTGGGCCAGAGAGAGAGAGAGAGAGAGAGAGAGAGAGAGAGAGAGAGAGAGAGAGAAAGACAGAGATAGAGACAGAGTATGGTCTCTAGTTGCCTTATTTTACCAATAAACACCTCATTTATTTTTTATGACTTAATAGTATTCCATTGTATAAAAATAGTAGATTTTTTGTCTATTCTTTGGTTGATGAACATTTAGGTTGTTTCCAAGACCTAGCTATTACAAACTATGCTGCTATAAACTTGGGTGCACATATATTGCTGTGGTTGATGGTTTTAATTCTTCTGAGAATACATCCAGAAGGGGAATAGCTGAGTCAAATGGGACTTGCAATCCTAGTTTTTTACTTTATTTTATTTTATTTTATTTTTGTTTTAATTTTATTTTAAAGTTTATCTTCAGCTTCTTTCAAGTGGTTTTGCCAACTTTCAATGAGTTTTTAATTTCCTGGATATCTCTGAATCTGATTCATGTATTCTAAATCTTTTTTATATTGTTCATTCAAGGTTTCCTTCATTTTCTTATGCTCCTCCATTTTTTTATCTGTGTCTTCTTTAGAGGTGATCAGAACTTCTTTTATTATATTTTTCCTTTCTTCTTTTACCTGAGATAGTATTTCTGTTCTAATTTCTTTTATAGCTTCATGAAGTTGTTTCTTTACTTCAGTTGCCGTCACTTTAGAAATTTCAGGTGTGTGACTTCTGATCTCTTCTGTATTTACCTCTTCTGGAATTGCTCTGCCTTTTGCTTCTGTATCTTGACATATTCCTGGGTTCTTCCAGACAAGCGTGTAGTGGGGTCCCAGGCACTTCTCACATTGGCTACAATTTCTCTGAAGTGAGACTGTTTGGTTCTTTGAGAAAGTGCTTGCTACAGGTATCTGATGGTGGCCATTGGGTGCACTGGTGCAGGGCTGTCTGCTGCTTTTCCCAGGCAGAGTGCACGTGGGGTGGGGGTGGCTGCCACCTCCTAGCTGGTTACCTGCAGGGATCTTCCACAATGCTTGCCGGAGTGTGTGCGAGGGTGGGGCCAGCCACTACCTCAGGACCAAGCTGATCCCTGGCAGAGAACCCCCACGATGGCTGCTGCAGTGTGTGTGGGGGCAGAACAAGCTGGCTAATGCCGGGAACCTCCTCTTTGACCTCTGGAATGTGTGTGGAGGCGAGGCTCAGTCCGAGGAATTTCCACTGGTCTACACCCAGCTAGAGCTCCTGGAGGAAGCCAGCAGCAGTTCTGGTTCTGGGCTTATCCAGCCCGACTCCAAAATGGCTCCTGGCCAGTTGTTCTCTGGTCAGTTGCGATGGGAGGCCTGAGTCCTCTGCGCTCACTGCCAGCCAGTACAGTCCTCTGTGCCCGCCACTCCTTTCCAGCACCGCATCTCTTTGTAGAGGCCTCTGGGGTTGCCAGCTGCACTGTCACCTTGACCATGCATCCCTAGATTCCAACAACAACTCTCAAGTCTGTCTTTAGATTCCTCCTCCTTGTCTTCCCCATGGTGCTGTATTCCAGCATCTGGACTGACTGTCTCAGAGAGGCTGTTCACTCTGTTGCTTACTGTTCTAACATCTTCCCCAAAGTTCCCTCTTCAAATAGTCTTTTTAGTTAATTTGCATTGACTCTTGCTTTTTGCTGACACCTGTTATTCTTAAATTATTTTTCTTTGCGTCATCTTGCAGCTGTTGTACTGTTGTTTCATAGTTCCTTGTTATTTTTAAGAGATCCTTCCTTTCACAATTGCTAGCTTCCAGCCTGTCTTCAAGGTCTAAAAGTCTATCTTTAGTCTCTTTCAAGTAGTTTTGTCAGCTTTTGATGGCGTTTTTAATTTCCTAAGTATCTCTTTGGGTCTGTTTCATACATTATAATTTCTTTCTACATTGTTCATTATATGTTTATGTCTTCCTTAGATATGTTTAACAATTATTTTATTATGTTTATGATTTCATTTACCTGAGATATTATTTCTGATCTGATTACTTTTATAGCCTCATGAAGTTACTTCTTCAGTTGCTATCCTTTCAGGTATTTCAGATGTGTGACTTTCATTTTTTCCCAGGACTGTAATTCCCAGACTTGTTCTGTGAGGGCTGGAGGTCTGAGATGCCTTTTGCTTCGTCATCTTCACATTTTCCTGTGTTCCTCCAGACAGACTGCTCGTGGGCTCCCAGGTGCTACCGTGTTGGGCCAGGCACCTGAATTCCTCTGATCCCAGGTTCCTGGGAGGCGGTAGGGCACAGGGTGGGCTTCTCCAGCCTTGTGCAGCTACGCTAAGGGCATCCCTATCACCATGTGTGCATGGTGGTGAGGCTGCTTCCTCTTCTGGCCTGCATGGCTACACTGGAACTATGCTGATGATGGCAGACACACAGGCACATGGGGTGTGTTTGTCTGCTTCTCCCAGCCCACACTGGCTGCCTGTAGGAAACAAACATCTTCAGTGGCATCTTGTGGGTGCACGGGGCATATCTGCCTGTTTCTGCCTGCACTGGTTACCTGACAGGAGCAGGTATGCTGATTCTGGTGGATGTGTAGGGGTGGGTCCGCCTGTTTCTCCCTGCCCTTGCTGGCCACTCACAGAAAGCAAACATCCCAGTGGTGGCCAGTACACAGCAGTGTGTCTGCTGTTTCTCTCTGCCCAGCACTGGTTACCTGAGGAAAGCAGGCATCTCAATAGTGGCAGGTGTGCAGGGGTATAACTGGCTGCTTCTCCTTGCCTGCACTGGCTGCCGAGTGGAAACAAGTGTCCCGGTGGTGGGTTTGTCAAATGTATTTTTTCTTTTAATAAATTATATTTTGTTTTAGTGTCCACATATCTTTGTATTCCTGAGATGAACAAATTTTTCTGTAATATTACTTTTATTCTTTATTGCTAGATTTTTTCATACTAAAAATGTATTTTTTCAATGTTTGCATCTGTTCACAAAAGAGATTAGACTATAATTTTGCTTTTTTGTAATGTCCTTGTCAGGTTTCATTGTCAAGACTATATCATCCTCATGAAATTATTTGGGAAACATTCCCCTTTGCATTTAATTCTTATGAATTATTCATTAGGTTACACAAGACTTTTGAGTTTTCTTGGATTAGAAACTTAATTCTTTTTAAACTTTTTCATTTTGTTTTATTTTTCTGTCTTTTTAAAACAGGGTCTTACTCTGCAGTTCAGGCTGGCCTTGAGCTCACTTTGTAGCCCAGGCTAGTTTCAAACTCACAACAATCCTCCTCCCTTAATTTTTTGAGGGTTGGGATTACAGGCGTGTGCCACTACACCTGACCTCTTAACCTTTTTTAAAATGCTGTGGATGGAATCCAAGTTTTCACACATGACATGCTAAGCAACAGATAGAGAATAATGGTATGAGCATTTTGCTCACTTTTTTAAAATTTATGTTTTAGTAGCACACAATTGTGATGATGCATGATGAATACATTTATCATGGGAAGTTGGTATATGGCCATCTCGCATCTTAATCCTTTTTACTTTTTCCCTTTCCCTCTGTCTCCATCCCTAGATTTTCTTCCTGTATTCAAAACTCCTTGTTTGCCTTCCATTTTAATAGCTTTTTAGAGGTGGGGGCCTTTGGGAGAAAATTAGGTTACATTTGAGGGTAGAACTGCTGTGAATGTATTAATGCCCTTATAAAATGAGGACACATGAAACCCATCTCTCTGTCTTATGTGGGGACATGAGATGTGTCAATCTGGACCCTGGTAGAGTGCCTTCCCGAGACAGTGGATTTGCTGGGACCTTGATATTGAACTTCTCATTCACTAGAACCATGAGAAATAGAGGTCTATTGTTTAAGCCACCAAATTATCAATGACATGTTGTTATAACAGCCATCACATATAATTGAAAATACTAAGAATATTATATATTGAATATGTTAGATAAATAGTGGTGACCTAATAAAAGAACACAGCCAGTTTTAATTTAGGAGTTCCAAGTGAGACCTTGTAGAGTGACTGCAAATTAGACTCTGAGTTGAGTTGAGTTGTGCTGGGATTTTATAGAGGGTTAGCAGAATGGGCTTGGGTGGGTGAGGCAAAGAGGAGTGTAAGACTGAGGGAGTGAGAATAGCTGAGTAAAAGTGGCACCATAGCAATGGCTGCCATAGCAACAGCTAATATTTTGTTGTGAAACAGGGTATCGGGTTCTCAGATGCTCTGGGTGGGAGTCAGGCTGTAATTGTTGCAGGAGCTCTGGTGCTTGGGAACAACCACTTTTGTGTGTTCTTGTAAGATTGCATTCCTTTCCCTAACCAAGCCCAGGTAACTAGTGTCATTATTTTTGTTCTAGTCACTTCCTCTCCTTTAACTATATCCCTTCTAGAATTTTTAATAAGAATATCATACTGTGTTCTATGAATTGTTTCACATTTATTTTGTCACTCAATTTTTCATCTAAACTGATTACTTTCTTTAGGTTGGAAAAAATGAAAAAAGAATATAGAAATCTGAGTACTTGGAAAGAAAAAGTTGATTATTTACAAAGTGTACTTAGCCCAGAATTGGAACATAAAAATTCCGAGGTAATTAACACAACACATTCTCCCACATTTAGCTTTCAATAATATTGCTTATTTTTTTCTTGATATGTATATAAAGAGTTATTCATGTTTATACATTTTCCTATTTTGATAATTGTCATTGTTTGTTGATAATTTGTAAGATTTAGTTAATTGATTTATTTAAAGTATTAAATTCAGTGACCTTTACTATATTTACTCCATTGTATATTCATTACCACAATCAATTTTAGACTACACCTCCCCCGAAAAAATCAGTCCCACACTTTATAAGCAGTACTCACTCAATCTATTCTTGGATACCTACTCTCTACTTTAAAATTGTTTCCTTTGTGTTGTTTTTCTAACCAGCTCAGCTCTTTATCTTTTGTGAATTTAGAAGAAAAAGTTTATTATATTAAAAAGATTTTAAAGCAGAGGAAAATTTTTTACTCTTTAAATGTTTCCCCCAATATATTTTCTTTTTTTTAATCCTAGGAAACTAATATAAACAAGATACCAGAAAGTCCAAACAGTAACCAATATGAAAAGAAGCCTGAAGAGATTGTAAGATTATGTAAGAAATTAATTTGATTTTAGGTTTTTCGTTAAAGCAATTAGAATCAAGGTGTTATATCACAAAAATTATTAGTTTTCTCTAGGTGAATAGCATTTTTGTTAGGGAATAAATATACATTTTCATCATGGATTTAGTATATAGTATTGTAACACTTTCAAGGGAAAATTTAGAACTTATTAAGAGCTTTTAAAAAGAGGTTTAATGTTTTGCTCTTCTAAAATTGTGAAATTTAAAGATGTGCTAAATCTTAACTCTCATCTGTAAAAAGGTATTTTTGTTATACATTGTGAGCTGTAGAGCTATTGACCTCTTGTGTGTAGAGGAGAGAGGAAGGAGGGGGACAGGGAGGCAGGAGCTAGAGAATAAAATACAAAGTATAGTTGGGAAAAAGGAAGAAATTAAATTTAAGAAATTATCAGTAAGGGATTTAATTAAAGAAAAAAATACATGCAAACCTTTGAAATATCTGTGTTTAAATACCTTCAAGTGCAAGTTAAAGTATACTTTGTACTTTAAAATGCATTATATCTATCTTTAAAATCAAGTTGTCACATATAGAAGAATAGTTATAAGACTTTTACCACACTTTAATAATTAATGTTTCCTCTCTATTTCTACTTCCCCAGCTACATCAGACTTTTAAGTATATTCATGACTGAACTTTAGGTAATTGACTAGCCTAGCAGATCTATTACATTGTTAGTCTATTTTTCATCTGAACCTTTCAAGTTTTAAGTGTAGGATGATCACTTACTTCCTTTACATTATCACTGGGAAGAAGTGTTATCTCTCACTAAACCAGAAGGTGCTCCCTGCCTCCCCTCTTATCCAAAGAGCTTATTCTGAGCCCCCTGGATTGTATAGTGACTACTTTCCTTTTGATTCCTATACTCATGTATTCCAGCTGATGTTTATTAATCACTACATTCCAGGTGTTTTACTTGGATTATATGTCAATCCTCACAATAATCAATTGAAGGAACTATTATTTATAGATAAGAAGCTCAAGATCAAACATTAAATAATCAGAGGTTACAAGTCACTAATTCATAGGAATTAAATGTGAACTAGTCATTTTGACCTGAGAGCTTAACTATTCAAACAGATTGACATTTACATCTTATATTGTAATTGTATTGTATCTATAAAATAAAGTAATATTATTTATTTTATATATGAGATAACACAGCTTGCAAAAACGAGCTGAGTTGGGGCACATAATTTTTTAAATTTAATTTAATTTTATTTTGGTGGGTGAGTCATAATTAAGATGCAAAATCAGAAGCCCTGTATCCTCCTTGTCCTCCACAGACACATTAATAACAGTGTACAAAACAGTTCCTTTTATGAGAATTTCAAAAAGGTTTTGAAAGGCTTCTGTATCCTGGGCCAACACAGGACTGGCTACATTTTAGCCAAAAGTAAAAATATTCAAGACACTTTGCTACTCAGCCTTCCCCTTAAATAGTTCCATAAAATCGGGAGAGGGTGGGCGGAAAGAAGGGAACTGAAATGTGTTGTATATATGAACCAATCCAATTACAGTGAATGTAATTATTATATACTGCATAAATGTACTAATAAAAGTCAAAAAGAAAACAAATGGTAATAATAAGTTCTTATCAATCATTCTTTAAATATGAATGCATTAAACTCTCTTCCCTAGTCACAAAACATAGCATAGTTTAATGAATATAAAAATAAGATCCAAGTATATCTTTTGTTCAAGAGTCTAAATATTCAAGGACACATGCAGGCTGAAAGTGAAGGAATGAACAAAGAGTAAATGGCAACCAAAAGAGATGCAGAGTGGGTATATTTACATCTGAAAAAAAAAAACAGACTTTAAATAAAAAAGTATTGTTACAGATCAAAAACTGGTGGTCAACTTAACACGGGGGAATTAAATCACCATGGTGCTGAGTGTAGATGTTCCACCTGAGGAAAGTTACCAGCATAGTTGGAAATGAGGAAAGTTGCCAGCATAGATAGAAATGTGGAGAAGGAGAAAAGAGACGAGGCATTGTGCTGCTGTTTGAGCCATTGGTTCTCCTGGAGGAGCTCATCATGACTAGCTTCCCCAGTGTGAGTTTGACCACTGTCATCAGAAGAGCTCAGAACCTCTTGGTGAGAGTGGCTGTGGTTCATTTTGGGGGAGCTCTGGTCTTTACATCAAGTATGGCTTCTGGCTCCTGGCGGGAGGGGGGGGGGTGGAAAGTGGCATGTGCCACTTAATCTCCAGGACAAATTTATCATGCTGGCTTTCTGGCATGTACTCCACTGTCAGAGGAGCCAGGACCTTTATGTTGCTGAGGAAGGGTGTGGTGCTTTTTAGGACAGCCCTGGTCTTTATTATGAGCATGACTTCTCAGCTCCAGTGTAGAACCTTAACCTACGAGCACAGCTCCTTCACCCCACTGGCATAGACTTTCTAGCTTCCACCACTGACCTTTGGGCCTTCCCAGCACAGATTCACAAAAGAGACTGATGTAAGTCATCGTTGTGGGCTCTAGACCTCTGGTGGACTTGTGGGAGGCATTGTCATGGGCTTTAGGTCTTCATCTGGCCTCATGCAGGACATTGCTGTGGGATTCAGGCCCTTGGCTGAATATTCTACGTCTTTAGTGTGGACAGATTTCCTGCACTTTCTTGCGTTAACTCTGGGTGACCATCATAAATAATATTATAAATTCTATGTCCTGATTCTAATTATTCTCCTCACAACCCTTGACTACAAGTGTAAAGAGATAAATAAGGTCATTATATAGTGGTAAAGGAGTGAATTCATCAAGATTTAATAATTGTAAGTATATATGTGCTATCATCAGACTACCTAAATAAACGCACATCAGAGTACCTAAATATGTATAAAAATAAATAAATGTGCAGTAGCGCACCTAAATATATGCGTATCAGAGTATCTAAATATGTATAAAAAGAACTGAAGAGAGAAGTGGATAACTATAATAATAGAGACTTAGGCAACCCATTTTCAATAATGAAGTAGAATAAAAAGTGAAGGGGAACCATTGAAGCTGAAAATTGACCACACTTGCAGGAGCCTGCCAGCTGGGTGTGAGAATAAAGACCGCCTGGTGTGAGCTGCAAAAACAAGTGACTCTGGGCTCCCAAAATCAGGCCCTTAGGTTGCCGTACATGCAGATTTCTAGACAACAGGGTGTCCTGTGACATTAAGTTGCTAAATGTATGAATAAATGCCCCTACAGTGAGAGGGGAAATTCCTTTTCTCCCATCTGGAGAATAAGGGCTCCACCTGACCCTCTTTTGTCTCTTCTCTATTTTCTCATCCTCTCGTGGTCCTTCACCCCAAAACCTCAAGAGCCACATCAGCAAACAAGTCAAAAATTAATAAACAGAAAAATTGAACTGTGTACCGTTGAACCATATGAATGTAACTATAGCCCAAATGGAGATCTGTAGATGATTCTACCTAACAGGAACAGAGTATCCATTGTTCTCAAGAGTACGTGGAACATTCTCCAAGCCAGATTGCACAATAAGTAAAAAAAAATTTTTTTTTGAGACAGGGTTTCATCAAATTTTTGAAGTTGTGCACTAAAATTTGTAGTCCCTCTCTTTCATCCTCCTAGAGCACTGGAACTACAGGTGTGTGCCATCATGTTTTGCTTGTAAATAGACATTTGTTAAAAGGAGATATACAAATGGCCAGCAGGTAAATGAAAAAATATTCAATGTGGATAATGATCAGAAAATGAAAATCAGAGCTACAATGAAATATTATTTCATCCCAGTAGAATGACTACTATCACAAAGACAAAAATCACAAGTCCTGGTGAGAACAAGGAGAAAGCACAAAATACATCAAAACCACACCACTTGTGTTTTTTAGCTACAAAGGAGTAGAAACAGAATTAATAGCAAAAGGAAAACTATAATTCACAAATTCAGCATGCACTTTTTAAGTAGCCAGTGAGTCAAATAAACTTAAAAGGAAATTAGAAAATACCACAAAGTACATGGAATGCATAAAAACCAGTAAGATTTTTGTAGCAGTAAAAGTCTTTATCAAAAAAGAATAAAGATGTAAACTAACATCCTAACTTCACACCTCAAAAAGCTAGAAAAAGAACAATGTAAGTTTAAAGTTATCAGAAGAGAAATAAAATGTAGAGCAGAAACAAAATAGGAGATACTAAAAAAAAGCCTATGTTTTTTTAAAGGAACAAAATTAGCAAACTGGGCTGCACTTAAGAGAGAAGATGCAAAATCAGAAGTGAAAGAGAAGACTGCAAATGATACCAAAGCAATAAAAAAAGAACATGATACTGTAATGAACAACTATATGCCACCAAATTGAATAATAAATGGATAATTCCTAGGAATTTCCAACCTGTGAAGACTGAACACTGAAGAAAGTCTCACATTCCTATGATTATGAAGGAGACTAAATCAGTAGTGGAAAACCTCCCAATAATAAGATCAGATGGCTTCATTAGTGAATTCCAACAAACATTTAAAGAATTAAAAGCATTTATTCTCAAATGATTCCTAAAAGGTGAACAGGATGAAGCAGCTCTAAACTTTTTATGTGTTTAGCATTATCGTGGCATCCAAGACAAGAGAAGACAAAAATGGCCAATATTCCTAAGGAATATAGTTGTAAACATCTTTAGTAAAACACTAGTAAACTGAATTCAACAGCACATTAAGATACACACCATATACATTAAAATATAGCTGGGGATATAGCTCAGTGGCGTAAGTGCCTGCCTGGCAAGTGCGAGATGATGAGTTGAATCCCTGCTACCAAAAAAAAAAAGAGATATGTGTATATATATAGTTTATCCCCAAGGGGATGCATGAATGTTTCATCATATAGAAATTGATTTGATATAACATATCATCTTAGTTACTTTTCTCATTTCTGAAACAAAATACCTGACAAAGAAGGAAAGGCTTATTTGGCTCACAGCTTGTAGAGGTCTCAGTTCATAGTTGACTGGCCCCAAGGCAAGGTGGCATTGCAGAGGAGAAACAGTTCATGGCAGGCAGAAGAAGCAAGTGACATGAAGCAACCAATGGCTTTCTGTCCAGGTTACCCCCACTGAGGGCGGGAAGTGCGCACACCTAGGGTGGGGCAGCCTTAATCTTAGTATTGTACCATGAATCAAACACAGTATCACATCCTTGTTCCCAGCAGCACACATCCTAGGTCCAGTCACCTCCAAAAAGACCCAACTATGACCAAGTGAGGCTTTCCGCAGACTTCTCCATACAAGCCACAGCACATATTAACAGAGCTAGTTATTAGAACACAGCTAGATAAATGTAAGGGGAAAAATCATTGGACAAAATTCCACACCCTTCAAGATAAACACACTGAATAAGCCAGGAATAATTAAAAAGTACTTCATTATAATAAAGATCATATAGGGAAAACCTACAACAAACATCATTCTCAATAGTGAAAAGGATATCTCCTCAATGTCTCCTCTAAGACCAAGAACAAAGGAAGGGTGTGCTCACTCATGCCACTTCTATTAAATATGGTATGAGAATTACTAGTAACAAACCTATGGCCCATTTTTGCAGCAGGCTGTTCGTGTCATTGAAGGCACTAAAAGGTTTGCCATAACTGTTCTAGATGGAAGAGTTAGTCAAGAAAAAATCAAAAGGCATCCTAGTCAGAAAGAAGAAGTAATATCTTTGAAAATGACATGCTCTTATATGTAGAAAATCCTAAACTCTCCACAAAGAACCTATGTTAAATCAATAAATGAATTCACTGAAGTTGATACAAATTGATACATAAAAATCAGTTGTGAACTATAATTCACAAACTATGAATTATTTGGAAAAAAAATTGTTTTAAGTACTTAAGCCTAAAACACTAAAGTAAAACTCCTACATGAAAATACAGAGGAAAAGTTCAATGATACAGAGATGAGGAATAATTTCTTGTATCGCAAGACACCAAAAGATATCATCTCACACTTGAGTTAAGATGGCTGTTGTCAGGGCTGGAAGATAGCAAGTGTGGGACAGAATGTGGAGAACTGGAACCCTTGCCTACTGTTGGTGGAAATATAAAATGGTGCAAGCACTTAGGAAAACAGTATATAGGTAACTCGGGGGAAAAAAACCCAACTTACCATTTCATGCATGTTCTACTTCAATCCCCCTTTGTGTTCATTTAACATTCTGCTGTTTCCCAAGGATTGATCAGCCTGTTTTTACTAAGCAGTCTTTACATTTGGATAGCTGTTTCATTTTATATTGCTTTTTGATTGTGGTGAGAAAAATTATAACATTTTATTAACATACATAAACATAAATGTGCCGTGTAGAATAAAACATGTCTTAATTTTTAAACAGATTTCCCAGTCAGAGGCAGTAAAGCTGAAACTACACCAGTTGAGGTAAGTGAAGTTGGAAGAGACATTCTAGTAGCCATTATTTAAAAAGGAATGAAACGTTTTGTTTTGTTTTTTGTGTGTGTGTTTTTCCTTTTTTATCGGTACCAGGGATCAAACCCACGGCTGCCTGCTTGCAAGGCAGGAGAAAAGGTACTGAACCTTCACACTTTTTTTTTTTTTTTTTGTCTTTTTCGTTTTTATCGGTACCGGGGATCAAACTCAGGACTGCCTGCTTGCAAGGCAGGCGCTTTATGCCGCTGAGCTAAAAATCCCCAGCCCCGGAATAAAACGTTTTTAACTAGAGAAATAATTATAGGTGGGAAGAAAGAAAAAACACTCAAGAAGTTAATTATTTCATAGTTATTCCTGTTAGAGAAAGAGCTATACTGTTACATAATTTTTAGAATTAAGTTACACTCAAGAAACAGAGGGTTCAGCATAGAACAGGAACACTTAAGAATACATGAAAAGACTTAAAAAGTATTGAGGAAAGAAGGAAAATAAAGTTTTGTATAAGATCTTAGAAATGGATAACATAGATGTAACTGTACCTTTGACTCTTTCTCATCAAAATCTTTTATCATTTTCTAAACTCGGCCCATGGACTATTATATATTTCATAGTAAAAATCAGTAAAATTGAAATTTGCTTAAAATAATTCACTTTTCAGATCGTTTTATAGGAGTTATTCATTCAGTTGAGCAGTTAACCCCCACGTAAACCATGAAAGAGTAGGTTTCTTTTCTACTTATTTTGACAAATAAGATTTCCATCCCTGGGTCACGGGCTACCAAATACCAGTTGAAGAATGAATACACACTGGTTGGTGAACCTATGGCGTGCGTGCTGTTAGTTATCCCTGAAAGCTCTGAAAAGTTCACCATTACCGGGTGTACTGATTTCCTCAGGAGAAGAAAAAGGCAGTGTAGAGAATTTTTATAATGCAAAATATATTTAGCTTTACAAGCTATCTTCTACTTTATGATACCTGTTTGTGCTATTTTGCCTTAAAATTTTCCTTCATATTATAGTTACATTGTTTGTGTTATTGTGCTAAAAGTTTCTCTTACTTCTTAATGTATTGATCATAGTGTAATGGTAAAATATCAGACCCCAGATTTTCTTTTCTCCAATGTTGCTGAAGCCAGGCATGGTGACTGAGGCATGCTTATAATTCCAGCACTCAGGTAGCTGAGGCAGGAGGATCATCATGAATTTGAGGTCAGCCTGGACCACACAGTGAGTTCAAGGCCAGCCTGAAATGGAAGCAAAACTGTGTCTCAAAAAAAGTGTTGCTCATTTGTAAAATCAAAAATACATGAATAAATAAATGCTAAAACAGTTCTTTGTTATTTTTGATAATCTATTGTCCATGATTTCAGGCAAGTAGAGAATTTCTTGTCTTTTATTAAAGAATGTAATAGTTTAATGGCAACTAATGATAAAGAATAGGGTACAATTGATTTTATTTTAAATACTTTCTAGATAATAATGATTAATTGATAGTTTTTATTGGTATGTTTTTTAGTTTCTGGAAAGTGATAAGAAAGAGCCAACTATACCCATTGTGAAACTTCAGGACCCTGATGATTTAATTGATGTTGCTCCGAGAACTGATGAATCAACACCTCCACCCACAGATATTCCACTGTCCATTATTCCCACCCTGACAGTGACAGAAGCAGAGGAAGCACCATGTATAGATGAACAGCAATCAAAAGCTGTGCCAGAGGACAAATTGAAAAACACACTGTTGCCACCAGTAGTAAGACTGAGAAATACACATGCAGGCATTTTAAAAAGAGAATCGTCTTCATCAAAGGTAAAGTTGACAAATATGCATGTAAATCCAGAGGAAGTAAGGAGGGTTACAGGTGCATCTCCAGCTGAAATTAGGTGGCAAAGCAACTATTTAAACTTAGCTGAGAGAAAAAGTACAAGCTTTCTTTCCCCAGATTTAAAATCAAAAGGTAGCTTTAGAAGATAAAATTCCAAAAGATGACTTTGAATTAAAAGATATTAGCAAATGAAATTCAAATAAATTGAAAATACATTTTAATGTCTTTCACTAGAAATATTTCTAAATGTATTAAATATTCCTACCCCATTTATACTGATCAATAAAGGAAAAAATCTCTGAAGAAATAATTTGATATGCCAGTTATAGAAACTAATATCCTGGAAGTATGAAAATTTGAGCTAAAGTATAACAATAACAAAAAGTAAATTGTAAGGCATTTTAAAAGCCTGGAAAGTTATTTTAGTGGAAATTTTTAATAAAAGTGTGATGCGAAATAACATAGATCCTTCCTGTTACAGATAATTTTGTAGTTTAAAATGAGACTGATTTCAATGTAAATTTAAAGGCACACAAAAATGAAGTTTCTGTCAAAATGATAGTTATTTAGACCTTTACATCTATCTGAATCATTATTAGAAATGATTTTTTAAAAAAAGAGCAGAGTAAAAGGGTGTACAGGTCAAAGAGTATTAAGATTCTACCTTGAAATACTTCAATTAGCTCAGGAACGGAAATCTGTCTTTATCCTATCGATGATACATTAGACTAGGTGTTTTCTAAATTCCCTTTCAAACTTCAAAAGATACAATGTTGCTAAATGTCGCTAGCTGAGCAACTGTTCCTTTTACTGAATGTGAAAACAATGCACAGTCAGAAAATTTAGAAAACTGTGAGAAGCATAAAGGAGAATGTAAATAAAAGCGGTTATACCACATTTAACAATTTTATGTTCTTATAGTTTTTGTTATGCATATATATACTTTGTTTCTAAAACATGATCAGATTATATATATTTTTATTATGCTATTTTTGAGCTAATGGCTTTTTGTTGTTGTTGTTTTTGTTTTTTTTTTTTTTTTTTTTTGGTACCAGAGATCAAATTCATGACCTCTTGCTTGCTAGGCGGGCACTTTGAGCTAACATTTTAAGAATGCTATCTGAATTTTCTAAAACATTTTCAAGATGCAGAATTCCTGAAATGTGAATGTCCCATCATGTAAAAAATTTCCCACACTGCTGGACCTTAAGTTTGAAATTGACGCTCTTACTTATTTGGGTATGTGATTACCTAATTATCTATGTAAGTGACATGTTGGCAAGTTGTTCTCCAAATAACTGTCTAACTTCACATTCTTACCAACAGTATTTGAATATTAATGGTCTTTAATAATTAAAACTTATGAATACTTTTAATCATTTTGATTTTCCCTCCAATGAGTAGATGGACAGATTATTTATTTATTTATTTATTTAGAAGATTTGGAGGTTTTGTTCAAGTTTTATAAGAGTGTTTTTTAAGGATAGTAACCACTTGTATAGGCATGTTATTTTTCCATAGTTTTTAGTTTGACTTTTATTTATTCAGTCTGATTTTCAAAAGACTCAGTTTTCATTTGATGTTTACTGGTGAATCACAATTCCAAAACTTAATGCCTTAAAAGTTATCTTATTGTCTCTCAAGTTTCTATGGGACTGACATAATGCTGGATTTTTGTTGGATTCATAGTCATCTAGGAGATCGACTGAACCAGACCACTTAGGATTTTTCACTTACATGATCTACACTTTGAAGGAAGCAGCTGTAAAGCTGAGCTCAGCTGGGCTGCTTGGACATGTGGTTTGATCTCCATGTCTGTCTTAGGAATTATCCCTTTCCCTTTTCTCATGTTCTTTTCATATACTTCCTGTATGCCAGGCAAACTTCTTATATTGTAATTTACGTCTCCCAAAATACAAAAACAAAGGCTTCAGGACTTAAGATTTTGGTTCATACCTGGCACATGTTCACTTTCACTGCATCTGTTGAATATGTTTAGAATCTCTGTATAGTCCAAAAAAGTAGGAGTTTCAAGCCTATTTTTTCTTTAAACTTTGTCCTTATTTCTTTCAGCTCAAAATGCTATGATTCTCTTAAAGATTTTGTGGGCTTCCTGTGTAACAAATTACTATGTTAATGAACATAGTAAGGATGTCTTCAAAAAAGGCCCCTGTTTCTTGGGGTCAGAGTCAGGTGCTGCAGACAGTACCCTTAATTTTAGAGGTGTCTAGCAAAGAAGAATTAAGATGCTAAGATTCTTACACTGAATTGTATCTGACTGAGGGGTCTCTGAAGTACTATCTTAAACCTTTTTGTAGCTTTGACAGCAAATCTTAGAGCCACATTGTGATCCTGAAGTAACATGTTACTGGCAATGGCACATATTTGAGTTTTGCCCTGAGGTCATTTCTTACTTTGGTAGTTGTTGACAAGGAGAAGTATAGATGATAAACAGTTTTATTTTTCAACACTAGAAAATTTTTGTTCAATTGTACTTGAAAACTGAACTGTTCTTTTTAAGTTCACCTCTGTTTCTTTATATCTCATAATACACACCTGAAAGATACCATTTAGCATTTTCAGTATTTTACCTAGAAATATCTGTAATCAAACCTTCAAATTTGTCATCCCATGTGCTTTCCAGTTTCCATGTTAACACAGGGGCAGTGTTCCCAGACGTTCCACCACTGTAAACAATTGATGGTCATTTTAACAGTCTCCCATTAAAAATTACCTTCATATTCTTCCAGCATCCCCTTAACAGGTTTTTTGAGACTCTAAACTTTTGACTACCATGAAGCTCCCAAACAAATTGCACATATTTTGAATTTTTATTATGGTAGCACACCTTATCTATCTCTTGGTATTAATTTTCTTATATTTGCCTAAAAATACTTCCCTAAACTTACTATATGAAAACATTTATATTTTTTCTTTCCCTTTTCCTCCACTCAATCTCTCACCCCCTTGCAATGATTATACTTATCTGGAAAGCTGTTTTACCCACTGTCAGCTGAGCTGTGTACTCTGGAGGATCTGCTGGGATGAATCAATTGCAAGATAGCCCACACTCATGTTTAGTGCCTTATGTGACATTTCAGCCAACCTGGGCCCATAGAAACTGCCAATCAGACAAAAAATGACCCCCAACTCCCTAAAGTGCCCAAAATAAAATGAGTATTCTAATACAGTTATATTCAAGCAACAATACATGAGGAAACAAAAAAAAAGAAAATGACTGGAAGCTCGATCTCAATTAGGACTGTGGGGTGGCTGAGTCATGGACTCCCATGTAGTTTTTCTTTTGAGACGAGTCTATTTCAATTGTCCGACTGGGTCATTTGTTCTGAGGGTATAATTTTTTAAATTTATTACATCATCTAGATATTAATCAAGAAGCAGTTGGGCTTTTTTTCCCTTTTTGTAGATTGTCTCTTCGTTTTGTTGGTGATTTCCTTTGCTGTGCAGAAGACTTTTATTTTGATATAATCCCATTTGTTGATTCTTGGTATTATTTCTTATGCAATTGAATACAATCTGAAAGTCCCTGCCTATGCGTATGTCTTTAAAGAGTTTTATCTAGCTTATCTTCCAGCAGATTGTTTTTGTCTTCACATCTAGATCTTTGATCCATTTTGATTTAATTTTAGTACAAGGTGAAAGATATATCTAGCTCCATTTTTCTACATGTGGATAACCAATTTGCCCAGCACCATTTTTTTAAAAATTTTATTTAAGGAGAAAAAAGAAAACAAAAAAAAGAAAAAAGAAAAAGGGTACAAGTTATACAGAATTTCAAAAAAAATAAACAGTAGGAAATCACTAGTTAATAGATTACAATTGTCATCTTAGAAATAGTTGTTCAAGTTAACAAAATTAAAGCATATAGAGTAGATATTCAAACAGTGAGACTGCAAACAGTTCTGTTCAGTGATCCAATAAAACTTGGTAATATGGTCATCTATCTTATACACTTAAATATACATGTAGTTACGTCCTTTAGAGCACTTTTTCCTCTGTTTTGTACAATGACAATTACACATTTTGGGTTTTATTACTCCCACTGTTCTTATTACTTTTTTTTGAAGAGAGTAAAACCAAATGTGCCATAACAGGACAGAGTCAGTCAAATCAAAAGGATGGACATAATAGATAATGTAAAAACAAAATACTAGGTGATCAACAATGGTTACCATAATGCCTCTTGCTATCTTAAAAAGAATTGCCTATATCATCAGTTATAATAAAATCCCAGCACCATTTGTTAAAAAGGCTGTTTTTTTCCAGCAAAGATCAGATGGCTGAAGTGCCTAGGGTTGTTTTGGCATCCTCTTGTCTGTTCTATTGATATGTGTCTGTTTTATGCCAGTACTATGCTCTTTTTATAGCTTTAGCTTTGTAGTATAACTTGAAATCTGAGGTTGGGATGGCTCCTGCTTTGCTTTTGTTACTCAGAATTGTTTTTTTTTTTTTTTGTCTCCTTTGAAATGGGGTCTCACTATGCAGTTCAGGCCGGCCTTGAGCTCACTTTGTAGTCCAGGCTGGTCTCGAACTCGAAACGACCCTCCCACCTCAGCCTTCCAAGTGCTGGGATTACAGGCGTGAGCTACCACACCCAGCTTATGTCTCTTTTTTGGTTGCATATAAATTTTAGTGTTGTTTTTCTAGTTCTGTGAAAAATTATGTTGGTATTTTCCTTTATTTCTTCCTTTAACAACTCTCCCATTTAGATGTTTGCTTTCCTTTGCGGGTCATTGGGCTGTTTGGTCCCTTTGTCTGCCTAGGATTCCCTCAAGTATTTTTCACAGCCATTCTTAGTGGGCATATATTTCTTTAGGGTTTATTGGTCATGAAAGGTCTTTACTTCTCTGTCACTTTGAACCCTAATTTTTCAAGATATGGAAATCTGATTTAACAATTATTTTCTTTTAGGGCTTGAAAAACTTTACTTCAAGCTGCCCTGCCTTCATGATTTGTGCTGGAAAATACATTGCTATTCTGATAGGCTTGCCTTTAAAGGTTAAATTGCTGTTTTTCTCTAACGGTTTTTGGAATTGTCTCTGTTGGAATTCTGGAATTTTTATTATGATGTCTCATGGATTTGTTTTTTTCTGGAAGTGGCTATTTGGGGTTTTGTATGCTTCCTTTTATTAAAGTTGAATTGTTTTCCTCAGTTTAGAAATTTTTCTGCTATGATCAGTGAATAATTTTTTTTTAAATTTTAAGAAAGACTAAACAAAACAGAAAACCGGCAGAAATAATACATACTTTCAAAGAAAAAAAATAAACAGTAAGAAATCATTAGTTGATGATTACAGATTGTCCTGTTACAAATAGTTATTCAAGATACTAAAGTGGAGCATATAAAGTGGGGATTCAAACAGTGAGGCTGCAACCAGTTCTGTTCAACTATCCAACAAAAACTTAGAAATATGGTTATCAATCCTATACACTTAAACATATGTGCAGTTATCCATATCTTCAATTATGTTGAGATGGAAACAAACCCAAGCAGGCTAATATCACTCTGAACAAAGAATAATATTATTGCTGGGTTTCACATTATGGCACTCCAGGATCAGCACTGGGTACTTTAGTATCTATTTTTCTTCAGAGTATTTATTCATTTCATCATGTGTCATAAGATCAGTTCTCATAAACTGTTCATAGGTTCTACACATGCATGAGTCTTAACATGTATTTCTATCTTTTCTATATTAGAGGGAGAAACAAAACAAAGCAAGACAAAACAAAACATACTCCTATAAACACATGAAATGAAAAAGACATACAAGACTGTTATACAAGGAGTTCTACCATACATAGGTCTTGTGTTGTCTCGTCATCTTCGATAGAATTGGCTATATCATCAAACATAGTATAATTGAATAT